ATTTTGAGCATAATTTCATTATTTCATTCTAATACATATAATTAAACTATACATTGGTGAAGCATTGTTGGTACTTGAGATAAGGTTAACAAAATATTATCTCATATATGAGTTATTTATAATATATGCTCCTCATTAATCAACTGACGAAATATTTAGACCATTAATTAACTATAAAAATCTTCCTATAAACAAGCCGAAAATTAATTTAATTGTAATAAAATTATAATTTTTATTAAATTGTTAGAAACACCCACTGCAAATAGTAAGGCACAGCCAAATTATTGAGAAATAATGTGCAATAAATAAATTACCGCTATTAATTTTTGATAATAATTTGTAAATGTATTTAACTATGATAAAGATATTATTAAATATGTATATACTGGTAAATATTCTAAGAAGGAATAATTATGACGTTTTAATTCTATCATAATTTTTTAATTTTTTTTATGTATACTTATTTTTTATGAAACCGTAATATTTATTATTTCTTTATTAGTATCTATAAATCGGTTTAAACAATATAATATAATTGAATAACTAAAACGTCATCCATCAAGAAAACGATGACAAATATTATCAAAAATAGAAATATATATAGGTAATTTTCTTCAACATAATTATTTTATCGTCTATTTAAAGACGGCGTTCCGTATATGCAATATTAAAGCATCTCTGTGTACATATGATTTTCGACACATAATTGGTATGTTAAGCGCGTGTTTACAGTGGTAGCGGAAGGAACTGTATCTACTACCAAATATTTACAGGAAATTAAAAACCTATTAAATAATTTTAAAATCCCAACACTTCCTAATGCATGGACTCAATTTTTACTTATTTATGTGTTAATCACAAGTTCGTCCAAACTGATTAAAGGAATAAACTTAAAATCCAAAAAGAACTTTTATTGTTTTAATTCATCATAGTTATACATTTAATTGAAGTGTATTGTTACACTTTTTTTTTTATACAAAATCTACAATATGTATTTAATTAAATATAATAAGCAAATAATAAAATGCATACACTACAATAATTTATATATGACAGAATTATATGATGAAGGTATATAATGATAGAACTCTTCTCATTATTATTACAATGAAAAAACATTTTGGTGATTAAAAAAAACAAAAAGTTATTTTTTATCTGCATGTATTAAAATCAAAATTAACTTCGATGTGTGTTAGCAATATATAATTTGATGTTTAATGTTAATGGTATATTCGCTACAATGCTGGTATTCTGTTATTCAATTTAAAAACGATTTAAATAATTTAATAAAAAATAAACTAAGCCAACATAATTTACAAAAAGTTTATATCAATTCATAAATTATTTTTATAAACATACTTGCGACTTTCTTTTTAATTAAACTAACCTAGTGCCAAATCCTATAGTTTAATAGAGGTCATTGTATTTGCTTATTTAAATTAAATGTAGCATTCTTAATATTTAAGTAACACCATATTCACACATTATGATTTTTAGAAAAGATAAAATCAGAACTTATATAGTTCAATAAATTTATTCATAGTATTCTTTAAAGGATTCGTGTAAAAACTTGACCCGTTACTACTGCAAACTTTCATTTTCAACATATTATAAATCAAATACCATAAATTATTCAATAAATTGTGACCTATGTCAAAAATAAAACAAACTTGGGACCATCTGTGATCTTATAAATCGTATTTTTCCCTGAAATCTAGTCTACACACTTCAATCAATGATTGAAAAACAATACTTTAAAATTATCGTATTTAATAATTTACAATCAAGTATTACAATTATTATACGATATAACATTATACTTTTATAATATAGACAAATTTTAAACATGTCTTAATGTAATAGTTTCAACAAAACAAAATAAATATTTTCGTTAGTTCCATATTATGATAAGATTCAAACAAAAATATTATATAGTATAATAATTAAACCAAAGAAAAAACAGATATCACAATAAAAAATAACAATTTTGGAGGTATTTCGAAATTTTTATTAAAACTCTAGATTATATTATATTTTATTTCCAAATGTTATATATTAAAATAAAATTATTAAAAATTATTAAAAGAATATAATGTACTTTAGAAAACAAAAATATGTTCCGGTTTATACGAGTATATTATTAAAAATAATGTAATACTTTTAAATTTTAATGTTTGTAATTTCATTGAATATGTTTTTGCTTCTTCACGTAAAGTATAAATACGTATAATAGCAATAAATAAAAAGTTCTCTAAAATATGTTATTATCACATTGTTCTATACTTAACATAATTTTATGAATTAAAAAAAAATTACAGATATCTAGATATTTTTTATATTAAGGTAAGAACACACTATTAATATTATTATAACTTTAAAACTTACATCATCTGATTAACGACGAAATATTTTAACCATTGGTATATGTATACTATATATTTATAGTATTTAAGGTATTTCTAGTAAATATAAGAATTTAATATTTTACTATATTATACAAATTCCTTTGAACATTTTTTGACAAATTTTTATTATTTTAAATATTAATAAATATGTTACTTTTACTGTGTACTATAAAGTAAAAATATAACAAAATTTTTAAATTTAAAAATCACAAATTTCTAACAAATCTAGGTATATTAAAATTGTTTTTCAATTGTTATGTAACTAAAATATTCTTTCAAATCAAACACACATTCGCATTGATGTCCTGCTTTGTAGTAACTCGACTCTTTCAAGAAAATGTCTTCTAAATAACTTAAAATAATGTCCTCTATTTATATCTAATGACAATTGTAATAAGTTACAGAAAAATAATTCCCAAAATATATTAAAAAAAAAAAAAAAAAACATTTATCTCATCATTCAATTTTTTCCTTCTCAAAATTGTTCTTTCATTTATATGAAATTTCAACATTTATATACAAAACTTTAATTTTTTTTTTTTTTAACTAAGACACAAATATTCAATGTTTTTGATCTCACCTTGTTGCACCAATTATCTAATTTTATCTTCAATAAAAAATAGTAAATTAGAAACTTAAAAAGAAAAATATTTTTGGAAATATTTGTCTTTATTTAGTGACTTATAAATAAATGTATTAAATGAAGTGTAAATAATTTAATATGATATTCAGGCTAAGATTTCACCAAGATCACCTATTCTTTCCTTTTTTAGATCATCAATACATCTACTAACGTAAACGTGAGGTAGGTAATGTTCTACATTACATACACCTACAAAATAAAATTATTATTATTCTTTTTAAATTTCTAGATCATTTATTTATTAATGAACAAAAATAATTACAACTAAATCATATATTTAGTTCACAATATTATTGTTTATAATAAATAATATGCATTAATTATAATATTGTATATTATATATACATCATATTAATATTATTTTATACTATAGTATTTTACAGGATTAACTATAATAATGCTAAAATAATAATATATACATGTCTGTAAATACATTGAGATGGTGATTCGTTATTTTACATGAAACAGTTCCGTTCTTATTCTTTAAATGAATTCTGAGTAGCTATAAATAATATTTTAAACCGATAAGAAGTTTCTGAAGAAGCGTTAATACAATTGATTTAAAAACATTAGGATTGTATAAAACATATAAAAATTCATTTGAACTTTTAAGATGCTATATACTTTATTTGTTATTAAAAAAAAATAATAAATGAAATAGAATGAAAATGTTTATACATACCTTCAAATGGAAAAAGCATTTATCTTTCGTTAAATTATTCCATGACAATTGTCTTTTGGACATAACGGTAAAACAAAAAAAGTTATCGTTTTCACTTATTTTATTAAATTGAGAAAATCTCAATTTTAATTATATAATACCTAAACAATATATTTTAATGTATTTCATAAAAAGTAAAAAGTGTTATTGATTTATTAGTTATTTTATTATTAACTAATTGTTTATGAACGAATCATGTTTATTGCATGAATTTGCATAATTTTAAAATATAGAAAAATATTACAAAAACTTTAAGCACGAATTGTTCATATGCAATGCACCACTGAGGTTCATCTATGAATTTTAAAAGTAAAGTAAAATATTACTATTATATATGAAAAATTTTTGATAAAGAGTTAGTTAAATTTTATTGAAATTTTTTTCATGTTGTACATATTATTCAATGATGAATCTTAAATTGAATCTTAAAAGGTGTAGTTATAGATGTATAAAGTACACATTCAAAAGTTCGATTTCACACCGATATTGCGCAGGTACTTACTTATTTGTTCGAGTTTTGAATAATAATAAATGGTAATGCATTTCGAATAAAACAAACCTGTAGGTAGTTAAAGATTTATCAACACGTCATAATTGTTCGCAAGTTGAATCGAGAAAACCAAACGTTTACAACTAAGGATCGTGTATACACAAGCAACAGAAATGAGCTGTGAAATCCACGTCATAATTTCATTAAAATCATTCTTAATAATTTGCGATAAATATTAATATATCAATGTACATCATGTATTGTTGCGTAAGCGACGTTGTTATTTTTCGATTTGAGCAAACCGCGGTTGCATTCGACAGCGAGATTTACAAGACATAATATATTACGGCGTTGTTTCTACTACAGGTATTTCCATATTTCAAGTGGATATTCTGTTTTTCACGATAATTCATTCGGATTTTGAAAATATCAGACAGGTGAATTGACGTGCGCTTATTGGACGGTACACGCGCGTCTATGTATTTACCAATATATTATTATATATTTAACGGTATGGGTACCTGCATACATATTTTATTTTATTTCCATTACTCGAGATTCAAAAGTATAACTGATCATCTGTTATACTTTAGCAGCGAGTTTTATGAAAATAAGGCTATAGGGGTGGTTTTGTCGTCGTTTATTCACGATTATCTTATATACATGTATACATAGCTACGTGTATTGAAAACCGTGAAAAGCGCTCGTTGCGGACGTTACGGAAAACTTTACCTATAAAACCCGACATTTACACAAGCTCACAGTGATTGTTTGTTTTTGTGTTTCTGGTCAATGTGCATCTGAATTGAGACAGGTAAGGCATTAGACACGTACATAATTATTTATTTATTTTCCAATATATTTTGAAAATATAACTATACTTATTTAAAAATTATAACTGTCTCTACTTTTTTTTTTTTTTTTTTTAGAAATATTTACTTAGGAAAAATTTATTTCGTTTGAATGTTTCAAAGTACATGGATATACAATTTTTAAACGTGATGTTAAATATCTTATTTAAATTAAAATTATTTCATTTTTACTCTTTTTGTATATAATTTTTTTTTTTTTAACACAATATATATATATATAAATACATTATAATATATATTATATATATATATATATATATATATATATATATATAAATAATAAATCATGGTTTACTTTTCTACCGACATTTCATAATTAAAATAATATATATATATTTTTTTTTTGTACAAAAATATTACAGCTAATTTTATCAAAGAACCCGTCCATTAATTGGAATTAAAATTAAGTCTAGTTGAAACTAGAATATTATTTTAAATAAAAATATATTTTATTAATAGAAAATAACTAAAATAGTATAATAATTCAATTAATATTACACGATTACAAATTATGATAAAAAACAAATGCGTTGAATATTATATCTACAATAACATTGTAATCTAAAACGTGGCACTTAGAGTTTAATTTACTGAACTTGAATATTTATATTGTCTTTTAGTCTATTTAAATATGAAATAAAATTTTTAACGGTAAGAAGCAAGAAAAAAATAAGATAAACTAGATTTTACCTAAATGTTATTTTAAATTTTTCATAACTTTTGTGGTGTAACACAGTATCTCAGCATAAATTATTATCTATTATAATATGTATTTCTTAGTAAATATTTGTAATTGAGTAGAGTTTCATAATTCTTTATCACTCCACTCCCGTATATTCGACAATCAGATATCAATCTCATTTAAATGGCGAAAGAATGAGTTCAATCTTAGATACTCAATCATTCACATTTTTGTAGAATATTAGTTATAGTGAATTTTCAACTATTGTACTTTTAAAATATTATATGACGATATTTCAAAACTACTTTTATCTAAGTAATATCATATATAATGCTAATTAAATAGAAATATAACTTATTCATCAAAGTAAATAATTTAGTTTTTTTCACATTTAGAACTGTCATAATTTTAAATTTTAACTATAAAAAGGTTATAAGTTTATGTTCCTTAATTTGTTATTATGGAAATTTAACTGTTATATTTAAAAATGTGAATCTTAATTAATATAGGTATTCGAATTCTACTAACAAAAATTACAAAATCCATCATAATTATAAAGGTAAAAAATTAATTCATGCAAAAGTTAAGTACAACGTAAATTGATTTATTCATTACTTTTTTTCCTTAACTTTTTTCACTTAAATATTTTACGTTGATCATGGTATTTTTATAAATATAGACATTTTATTAGGAAAAGAAGGTTTATTTTGTTGCCTGTTGTCATCCAAAAACTTAAGACTACCGTTTTTATAATATTTTTTTTTTTAATCATTGTTACATGTACATAATTAAAACAAAAATAGAAACAATGTGTCAGGTTTAATAATTCACATTCAGACAATTTATTCACACATTTTTTTTCGTTATACGCGAAGTAAAATTCAAAAAACAATACTAGGTATAATGTAAATATTTCATATATTATACAATTTAAATGATACTATCATATATTATAATTATTATTATTTATAAATGAGTATGGATGTACAATATTTATTAATATTTACAATTTAAATAATACTTAAATATTATGGAGTTGTTCAACGAAAGCAACATATTGAAATGAATTATAATAAATATAAATTATGTTCAAAATTAAACTAATATGATGATAATTAAGGCACATATATTTATGCTCTAAAAAATACCTTAAAATACCTTAGAAAATTGCAATTATGACCAAAAAAATTTAATTAATGACGCAAAAAAATGTATTAAAAATGTGAAAAATAGAATTAATGACGTAGAATTGTATTAAAAATGGAAAAAATGACTACCAAAAATGCACTAAAAATGTTTTATTTTATTCTATCAATGCTTTCCACACACATAGTCCGTTTGTTTGTTATCGTTATAGACTATTATATCATAATTTAATGCCATAACGATAACATAAAACGATAAAATAAAGTTGTCAATAATTTGATTAAAGAAAAATATTGAATATTTGAAATTGTATTAATTTTTCCCAAAAATGATACATATTTAATAAATGTGAAAATAATGTCCTTAAAACAAGTGAAAATTCCAAAAATGCATTAAAGTAGTAAATACGACAAAAAATGCAAAATAAAAATCGAATTATATGAATCTACATCATTTGAAACATATTTTTGCCAAATTGAGCATTGCGTAAGGATGTATAAAAAAGAATGCATTTTGCATTGAAACCCACGGCCTAATAATAATTATTAAATTGTACTGTTTTAAGGAGATATTACATAAAAATAAAACTCTGTATGTATTCAATATGCTAACTTTATTTTATTTTATTAAATTATATTCTAAATTCAAACATTTTTGAGAACAAAAAACATGTAATTGTTTTCTATACATATATACAAATAAAATATAAAAGATATCACATTTCTAAATTTAATTACTTCTAATTTTTTTTTTTCAGAAACATTAATTCAACTATTTAAAATATATTTTTTGTCATTTATTAGTGATATTATAGTGTATTATTGTAAATACCATAAATTATTGAATAAAAATTTTGTTACATATAAATACCATTAGACTGTCGAATTTTTACGTTATAAAATAGGTTAAAATTGTATGTGTGAAATATGTAATGATTCTATTTTTATTATAACTTATATATATTTTTTTTTTTTTAAATAAATTAAAAGCTCTCAAAATCTTCAAAGATCTTATAAGACATATATTATTATGTAGATTTAAACTCTTTTACCAAGAACTTTTATTCATAGTTTTAAGATGAACATTTTAATTATTTTTTTAATCGGTATACATTAAAACATCAAATACTTTTTAAACAGGTTCATTAAATACTAAATAGCTAATAAATATTTTCTTTTTCAAGAAGTTAGTTGTAAATATTTAAATTTAAAGATAACTGATTTTATAAAAATTATAATTTTCAAATATTAATAAAGATAAAAATATTACTTTTCCACCATCCATTTCGACTTAAGTCTAAAATAATTATTCCATTATTAAAAATACGTAATTGTGACATGTATACTCTTATATCATAGATTTAAAGAACTGAAAATAAAATAAAGAACCTCGTATGTAAAATATTGACTTAATTTCACTGAATAGAGTAATAGAAAAAAAACCATTTTAAGATTGTAACTTTTATTAATACAAAAATTTATATTAAAAAATTACCAACAATGTGTGAGTGAAACAATGTGTATTTTATGTCGAAAAAATAATCATTTTACTATGTACATACGCACATGACTACACATAGAGCTGCTACTTTTATGTGAAGTTTATGTAAGATTTTAATGACATTTCAAATAAAATAGATGAAATATATCTAGTAATATAAAACGAGTCGTGAAACTTGAAAGTATTATAATACTATTTCTATAATATACCTAATATAAAACTATTCTAAAACACTATTTATACCATATATTTATATTATTAACCATAAATGAAACATAACTTGACTTATCGGATCTCAAATATATAAAATATACAATATATTATGTTATAATATACAACAGTGTGTGTGTGTGTATATATATATATATAAATATATCAATGGTGGATTAAGCAATTTTCCGTCTATAAACAGGACATTTGTCATCCTTTCATTTTCAAAAGTTTTTTTAAAAAAAAAACAATATATAAAAATAAATTAATTGTTAATCAAATTATTCTTTATTATTTTAAATTTAATACAATATAAGAAAACGATTACAATAAATACATTATTTTCGTTTGGCTTTTGAGCATAGTAATTACACCATTTATATTTTGAAATTAAATTGTCGATACTAATTTCGATTTAATGCATAGGACAGCCAAATAATTAATCATTTTTCACAATTAGTAGATCATGAATATGTTTTAGTTTTTTAGAGATACGAAAACGATCGTTCTACCGAACAATTAGTAATCACTATATATAAGTACTCGTATATTTTTAAAACGATGCTCATAATCGAAAATAGATTATTTAAATTTTGATTTCGAAAAAATGAAAATAAACTTTGATTTGGTTTTTTTTCAATTTTATTTTGAATTTAAGTTTTAAATGCATGCATTCTTGTGTAAATGTGTTTTCATAAATTTCAATTTCATAAATTGGTTGAAATATCCCAGCTCTTTGAACAATATGATCGATATAAATTGACATGTTGTCTAAGTTGATCAAAATTTTGAATTTTTTACTTATCAAGAAAGTCTCATTTTCCGTTCCAATTTAAGATGATCCAATACAAAATGAAAAATAAACGATTTTGTTTTGTCTAAAAAAAAACACCAAAAAGTACTCTTTAGAAATACATTCGTCTTATTCTTCACATAAAAGGCCTCAGTGCTGATGACGTGTCTTGAGTGCCGCAACTACCAAGTATGCAAGGTATGCATTGCACATCGGCCCCCTAACCGTTATAGGCCCCACACGGAGACACACGATGTATTATTATGGATTTGGTTGTAGACATTTTATCTGAAGTAAATTGATAAATATAAAAAACAGATTTTTATATTATTAAATATTTATAATCAAATAACTTACCTAACTATTAACTCGTTGCCAATGACCAAATGCAATACCACTGATTATAAATACCATTATATTACTAAAGTATTTCTAATGCTATGGTAATACTAATTCTTAGGACAGAAAAAATGCAGATCATTTAAAATTAAAGATCCACTAGACAACATTTCATAATATAAACACCGGTCAACATATTTTATTTATAGTAGGTAAATACTTCTTTGAAAAAACATTTGAGCCCCAAATTCAAATTTACATACCAGCCCCATAGTGTGTAGTTGCTGCACCGCGTGTCTTGTCCAATTCATATTTTACTAAAAATAAAAATTCAAGTTGACTGCGTTCAACGAAACCATTTCAGTGAGTTAATAACCTAATATCTAAAACCTATAATACAACAAATCGGTGGCTAAGAGATCAATAGTTGTAAGTCCATTTTTTCTCAAAGTCATTTTATAAGTCGATTAAGTAAATCTGGAACGTATTTTCCTTGGATCGAATACTATAAGTCAAATATCATTGTAAACAGGTTTTTATGTACTTAAAATGCCGTGTATTTATCACAAGATAGGCTTTTTCAGTGTGCAAATGTAATAAGTCTTATATGACTTGGACTTACAATAAGTATTTTTAATTGACTTAAATATTAAATGGATTAATGTAATAAGACCGGGCGTTATTTTTGTCAAAAACAATTTAGTCAATTTTGGACATGTAATATAATGAGAATCTATATTATTCGAGTATATTTTTTTAAATACGATACGTCCTGACTTAATTATATTGGGAATAATTATCTTCGTATTATAATTGACAGATTAAATTGAATAAAAATAAATACAATTTTCATAAGTGATACGCATATTATATTATTTTATAAAGTTTACAATTCAGAATTGTGATATCCTTGAAATTGATGTATCTATTTTATTATATTTTATTGAATTAATATGAGTTATTTATAAATACTTTATAATATAATCTAAAATAATAAAACATATTTATTCATATAATTACTATAGATAATAGTTGAAAAAGGTTTTTATGTTTTGACTAAAATTTTAAGTCAATTATTAAATTATTTAGATATTATTTGGAAGAAAAAATACTAATCATTTTAAATTTTTAACAAAAAAAATTCCTTTTTTTTATAACATAAATGTAGCAGATTTTATAAATTAATATTTACTCATATTATCATTAATTTTATTTAAATTTTAAGAAAATTTACTTTTTATTATACGTCCATCAAAACCTTGTACGTCATTGGCAATAACAAATTACAATTCTATTTATAATAAGTCCCACTGACTTAATTTAATCATTAAATTTAATGACATTAAATAAAATCATTCAAAGTACGTTTAAAACAATCAAATAATTTAAATATAAAATGGTGTTAGGTTCTTTAGAACGTTTTATATATAAATCAGTAATAACCCAGAAAAACGAAAAATTATTATGCGAGTTATATTTAAAAAAAATGTAAAACCTTATAGGTTCATTTACATGATGACAGTAAATCTTGACAGTCGCAGTCACAGCAGTCACTGTCAAGAACTGTCATGGTATAAATTATTTGGTAGTAACTAACATGAGACTATGATAGTACTGTCACACTATCTAGCTGAGCTAGTAATATCGCGCTTGCATGACAGTAGCTATCGTAGACTGTTATCGTGTAAACACTGTTCATACATCTCTATCGTGGTGTTATCAATTATCTGCATGTGTCCACTTGAGTTCAATCGGTTAATTTAATATTTAAATATCATAAATTATAGTAAATAGTCATGTCCTCTAAGCTGACACTGTAGAATTTCTTAAAAGCTGTAAAGAATATCCATTTTTGTGGAACAAGGCCATACCAGATTTTCATAACAGATTATACCGAAGTATTGGAAATTCTTTCTATCCATTTTCTTACCCATTCTCTTTTACTACTTTTAGTTTTTTGTTTTTATTTCAAAACAATCATCTCATCAATGTTTATTGCACTTATTACTAGTTCAGAAATTATTAATTTAGATGGTTGTTTAAGTATTAAATAACAAACAATAATTAATTAAAACAAAATCAAATTAAGTTTAAAAACTTCAAAATGTTAGCACTTGAATCAAACAAAGAATCTTATAGAACTACAAAAATCATCCACTGTCAGTGGCTATCACTTTCACTATCGCTATTTAGTGTGAATATGTATACTGCATACTTCCTGTGACAGTAGCTGTCATATAATCACATGACAGTGGTATTATGACAGTACTGTCACCATGTAAATTAGCCTTCAAACTGCTCTCCTGAAAAATTTAGTTATTATGACTTACAACTTTTGGCCTCTTAGCTATTGATATATGTACATTTATATATTTAAGTCCAGAAAATTTGACATGCTTAAAATGTTGTCGCTCTAATCATCTGCTTATTCTGCCTATAATGTAAACCAATGCTGATATATATTATTGTACGTTATATTTTAACATACCATACATATGATATTAAAATTGTATGTGTTATAATAAAAAAATTGTGATAAAATTGTATATATTGCTGAAAAATTCATCTTAATCTATAACTTGTCATTTTTTTTCTTTTTTAAGAAATTCTCATCGAAAAATAGGTAAACTAATTTCAACATATAATACGATTATTACGAGATGATATTATTATTATTTCATTATTCTCGTATAATAAAACGTGTATTTGTAATTACTTATGTACATAATATATATTTTCTTAGTAGGTGTCCAACATTCTTACTAATTAGATTACCATAACTATAATGTAGAACTATACCCTCATCGGGCATAGTGTTTTTATAAAGCAAGTGCTTATATTAATATTTACTGAAGATGATTATTTTTGATAAACAAATTTCATTAACACACGTGTTTGTGAAACTTTAAAATTATGTTTACACAAGGTCATTCAGCAACAACCATGAATTCATCAATATCGACCTTCGTCTGGATGAGTTTACTAGTATCCCTAGTTCAAACTGTGTTTGCCGATGATGTCATTATTCAAAAAAGGGTAAATATATATTTTATTAAACTTTACTAATTATATGATTACTAAAGCTTAGTTGAAATAAATTCAAAACAAATTATTTATTTATTATTTTTCATATATAAATCGAATATTAAAATGAGAAATCATAGTAATGGGTACTCGTATATAACATCCAATACACATTTTAATTAAATATTTCAAATTGAAAAAAGAAAAAGTATAAATGAATAATAATGAATGTCACTGAAGAAGATTTTAGAATATTTTGTATACTGTATATGTTTTAAATTATTTTGTAATATTTTTATCAGCTATTTATAAAAATAGATATTTATGATGATATTTTAACAGTCGTTAAAATCCAAACTGTGTTAATTTTAAATCTTAATAAATATATAATATATTTATATTTTATAATAAATGTAAAAGTAAAATAGTATACCTATCGCAAATAATTGTTCAGGAGAAACAATGAGTTAATTTGATAACAATTATTTATTTAATTTTTATGAAATCTCGAAAATAATTTTTTAAGAAATCTGGGAAAATAATACTTTATTTACATTTCAACACATTTCAAATAGATAATGTTATAGTTCAAAATGTTTTTAGAAGTCAAACTAACACGATAATGTTTTTTACTTGGATCCGGCAAAATTACTCTAAATTAATGAATGCTATATATTCCAAATCTTTGCTATAATAATTTATGTAAGAAATCATGAAGTCTACATTAATTATAATATATTTTCGTTTCATTTATACTTTTTATGTATATTTATTGTATTATTCCAAAAGTATAGTTTGAAAATTTCTTACACAAAAAAATAATTTTGAAAAAATGCTTATGATTGTGGTTGAGATTTTACAAGAGTGGAAAACGTTTTTTAAAGAGTGTAATGTTTTAATAATTAAATTAATCGAAGTAGTAAAGTAAATGTTGTGTTAAAACTGAAAATAATAATTATACATATATAAAAAAACGTAAAACCGGATGTTACACTTATCGTCAAGTATCCATCCTCTACACACGGATATACCGACGAATGGATGTAACTTATACACAACACAAACGAGTAAAATACACCATTGTTTCGCTAAAAAAATTTGGTTATCATAAAAAGTTCTTAAAAAAACTAGTTAAAAAAAAGTAAAACTAAAACAAAACTTTTTAACTTAAAAATAGTTAAACAATAATTAAAGTTATAGTATCAACCGATTTTGCTTTTATTAAAATATTTACACAAGATTTCCTACGATTTTACTATGAATTAATAATACCAACCAAGTAACATGTTTTAAATTGATGTAGGTACACAGTGAGCCAAATCAGAATAATGTATATACATTGCAATAAAAATACAAAATATCTAAAATTTTTAAGATAGTTTGTGTACATTTTTAAATAAATTTTGAAAACTTAATTCATACATAAATGTTTGACAAAATAAATAAATACATATATACATTTAACACTTCATTATTATGACTCATAAATATGACTTTGTTTAATCAGTATTTCGACAACGATAATCCGGTAGCTGAACCAATCAGGAGGAAAAAACCCTTTTGTAATGCATTCACAGGTAAGAAACAATGATAATTACATAAGTACAACACAATATTGTTAGTGTAAATTTAGTTTTTAATAGTATTGAAAAAAAACTACACTAAAAATATTAATGACAATAATATATTTTCTTATATTCAAACTAAAGCACCTTTGTGAAATTCATTAAGTAGAAACACAAACATTATAATGATATATTTACGCACGTATTAATTATACAGATGTAAAAATTAAAGTTAATCAATATGGTTAAAGTCACTAAAAAGGTGTTTGAACTATAATTCTTAAATAAATCCAAAACAAAATTTAAATTCGATCAAACTTTTTACATGATTATGTTTTCTTAGGAAAATTTTAATTTTGAATTATATTTCTTGTCGGTGAATATTTGTATACATTTGTATTCATTTATTTGTATACATATATTAAATATTATGTTATTTTGTTATTATATATATATATATATATATATATATATATATATAAATAGGCTGTGGTCGTAAAAGATCAGATGAATCAATGGCCACATTAGTCGATCTTCGCTCAGAACCTGCTGTTGAAGAGCTTAGTAGACAGATCCTATCCGAGGCTAAGCTCTGGGAAGCCATTCAAGAAGCACGTGTCGAATTATTGCGTCAGGAAAAACAAAATAAAGCTGTAAGTCGAATTCGAAGTATATAATTAATACACACATACACACATACATATGTATATACATATTAGCGGTTTTAGATTTTTTTCTGGGGGTCCTCTGATATTATCTTATAATATTTAAAGACAAAACTTTTCTAACATATTAATAATTTATTATTTAAAATTAAATTTTTATGTTAACGAAAAAAATTAAACATAACATTTTAAACCCGAGAATCCCAAGTAAATAATATATCACATCCTTAACTCGGGATCTGGGGGTGGCTCCGGATTCCCACTTATAAAACCGCTATATATATATATATATATATATATATATATATATAAAAAATTAAAAGTATATATTTTATCATTCCGTAAAACCATAATCAAATCAATAAAAATTAAAATATGGAATGTTTGATTTTAAGAAGTTAAAAATCCATAATACAATCAAACAATATTTAACTATACGGACATATTTTGTTTTAATAACACAGTACAAAATTACGCAACAATAAAAATTAACGAAATAACTCGAAAAAGTAATTGGTCTGTAACTATATATGATTTACATGTATTTCTCATACTGTTCATACTTAGAGTTTCCATATTTGGCTAAGGTCTCGTGGGGATGCTCTAAGAATTCTAGGATGGAGAGTATAAAAGTAATCAACTTTGTAATAAAAATTGTAATTATTTTTTTAAATCAAATATTTGTTTATTTATTTAAGTTACATAAAAAAAAATTGTTTTATAGCTTATTACAGATTATTTGGATGGCCATACTATTTAGAAGATTTTGCATTTTTCAACATATTTGTAGAACTGTGCGCAAGTCAAGTTATAATTAATTTGACACTGTAATTTTGATTTCACAGTCTCTGAGAGCAGGCGATTTCGTCCACTGGGAAAACTTAACAAAAATTCGTATGCATACGTTTAGTCGTACAAGTTTAAAAACATAATTTTTATTTTCGATAGAATATTTATATACAATAAAACAAAATTTGCGAAAAATTCGCAATGCGAAGATTCAATCGGTACATTTTAGTCTGGTTGTCCCGTAGAGACTAAGAAGTTTTTTATATCTTCCCTCAAAATAAATGTGTAATATTACTCACAAGTGCTAGAAAACTTGTCAAATTTATCCTAACGTTTTCCTCCCGAGTATTCTTTACCATTTATTGTATTTTTTCATTGATCATCTTTTATTAGTCATAATAATAATAATATAACGTCTTTAAGGTTACGTACAGAGAATTTAAAACAACAGTATGTGTCAAACAACAATTTGTGTGGCAGAGGAAAAAAATAAAAATTGAGAGAAAAAAAATCGTGAAAAACTATATAGGTAATATTACAGTAAACACGAACTACAAATGTAAAAATGTTTTGTAAATACAACAGAAAATGAAGAAACGATAAACGCGTGTATCTTCCGGATATTACAATTATAGTTATTAATTTGCTCATAAAAACCCCGTTATATAATATTAAATGATTCGAGCGTATACCATGGAAAATATTTGGAAAATTATGTATTATACAAATATTTATTTTACTTTATTATCGCTCAAGAAAAATCGTATTCCGTGAAAACTTCAAGTTCTATTCGCGAGTAATGTAAACATTAAATAAGTTCTAAATCAATAGTACTGCATTCATATAATATTGATACTTTGATAACACCGTCTATCGTGCTTCACCTTAAAATCGCTACACAGAATTGCTACCCAACCATATTTAATGACTATACAAATCCCAACGTAAAAATATTACTTTCCCTCCTATTTCATACAGATTTAGAACTGTTGATTGCATATTATGACTATTAATTGGCCATCTTTATATTTTACCATATTTTATCTTAAATAATCTTCTTTTTCACATATCATTATTCGTCTGTTTTTATTTATACGAATACTCCGCGGTTTAATATAAGTTTCTTATATTATTCAATATCTATGAATTGGAATATATTCAGGTGTGCTAAGTCAAACATATTATTAAACTTGGAGTTGAAGGCTTCACAAGTAACCGTAGTTCGAATTATAGAACATAAATACATTGCTCACACAGAAAGTGCGTGGTCACAATCAAACTTAATGTATGTATTTAATACGTAATCGGAAAATTGCTGTACTTTTCCATTTTCAGGTAAAATCGATACAATATCGTCAGTAAAACAATCATCTACTTCATCTGGTTTTAAAAATGGGAGACCAAAAAAATATTTTCTTGCAGTCATTTAAATAAAACCGGATGCAATTCGTATACCAACTTAACAAATTTTTTTTTTCGGGACTCAATCCGTGTGTAGTCTTATAAATAACTGTTTTATTATTTTGTGATTATTGTACACCATACGAACAATTCGAACCCCGTTATCAGCTGTAGTAGTTAAGCGTTGATTGAGGATCACAGATATATAAAACAATAATCAAATCTGTGTTGGGAACTAACTGGAAATAATCAAACAATAGGTGCGTCGATACACATCCAAGGTATATCTAAGGTATATTGTATATTGATTGTTACCGGGTGCGTGGAAACATTTTATTCTTAAGGGGATTGCAAGCCATGATTTTCTTTTTCTTTCTATCACACACGCAGTATAGGGATGTAGACGTTTTCTGTTTCCAACGTACCGATCGATCTATTAAGACGATAAGGATTTTGAAAACTGATTAAAATTTCACGTAAAGTTTTCTTTAGATTGACTTTTTCCTATTTTTAAAATTTTATACTTAACATACCTAAAAATTATTTTTTGTTAATTTTTATGTTTCCAATTTGTTTAATCCTATTTTGTGAAATTTTGGGAGACAAAATCAAAAAAATAGGAAAGTCAATCTAAAGAAGGCTTAACGACGAATTTAAAGCAATTTTTAAAATTCCTTATCAATAGATCGATTGGTACGTTGGAAATAGAAAACGTTTGAATTTCTATACTGCGCGTATAATAGAAAGAAAAAGAAAATCATGGCTTGCAATCCCTTAAAAGAATAAACCATTATTTTTAGTTATACTTCATAATTTTTTTGTCGCATAATAGCTGTTAGTAGCCAATGAAATAGTTGTTGCTGAAAGAATATTGTTGTTGTGTAGATAATAAATAAAGATAATAATTGTCGTCTATTATAATTTATAAAAATCGATTATTTTCAAATTTATCATAAAACTCGTAATCATGTTACGTATACAGAGTCATATTTATGGGGGGAGGGCTAAATGAGCTGCAGTCCATTCTCCTAAATTTTAAGAAAATCTAAATATATGGCATGGTCTATGAAAGTCGATGCAAAAGTTTAAAATTTCATTTCATTGATTTTAAATTCGTATTTTTATTTTGTTAGCTTACGGGATGATGTAAAAACCAAATAGCATAAAGCGACAAGACTGAAAGCTTAATTTCTCAGGACTTAGAAAGATGTTTCGATTAATAGAAACGACGATGGGATAAATGTTATGCTACGGACGGAGAGTATTTTAAAGGGGATAAAACTGATATGTAGCAAATTATGATATAAAAATTTTATTTTTTAAATTCGCGTACTTATTGTACATACTACGTAGATAAACTGCCGAGAAATGTATAAAACTAATGATTGACTTCCACAAACTCTTCTGAATAACATATTATATTGAACCCACGAACGCCTAGTATTTAATGAAATCCGAGTGAGCTAAAAATTAGATTAGTATGAATTCAAACGGTTCGTGCACTAAGTATGTTTTCAATGAAATTAAATGTGTATTACTACGTGCACCTATACATAGTAACGCAGATATGCATTCCCCCTGTGCACCGTATACGAATATCAATCAGGCTACGTAGTGTACTCTTAACTTTTAGGACCCGTGAACAATTAATATTTAGCTCGACGTATTGCGGTAGAAATTCCCGCCGAACAATTATTATGTTTCGTACCTATTGAGAATATCGCGTCAATCAAAATAAACTTCTTATTATATTCACGTTTACCGAAACATAACTCTGGATGGAACAGGTATAATTGTTCTACTACTGAAATCAATCGTAAACGAACTACCTACTGTGTATAAGTTAAATATTTTCAGAAAGGTCTTGTATAGAAACTTTACCGGTAGTTGCAGTAAGTGCACAACTAATAAAAAGTTGGTGGTGGTTTCGTGGCTGTACGATGAGTAATAAATCGAAAAACCAATGATATCTCTATACCAACAATTCTCAAACTTTTTGGTCGGGGATAACGCGTGGAGCGTGAATTAAAAATGAACACTACTTGAATTTGAATTTATTTCTCAACAAATATATTTAATTGCAACAAGAATACAGAATAATTGATCACTTCTAAGCCAATGGCTGTGCAGAATTGATAGTTCTCACTTATATTAATTTATGGAATTGTAAGTGCTAGTAACTGTACACTAAGGACCTTGCTAACTATACCAATTTTTCGTCAAAATGACCGTAATTATCGATGTCTTTAATCATCTTATATAAATTTTGAAAACAATTTTGGAATATTTAACATTTCTACTGTATATATACTATATTTCTATTATTTAAAAAGATAATTAAGTAATTTTTAAGCTTATTTATTTTTATAGCTCATGAATAGTTTGTGGAGGAAATTGTTCTCTAACAACACCTCATCATATGTATATATATATATATATAATGTTCTACAAACAAAACTAATATTAAATATAAGTTTTGTTTGTTGAACACTTTTTAACACCTAGTGACGTAAACTGTGATTATTTTTAACAAACAGTTGAGCGTTTTAGTAAACTTTTCAAAGAAATGTTAAAAGGGACGCTCTAAAGTGTTGTGAGATTTTATGGGAACTGAGTCTCTTTGTGTCTCCTACTTTAAGCCTCAGAGATAAATGATAAAGTATTTTGGCGGGTCGAGCAGCCTCGATCTTGGCCAACATGATTTTATATCTCAGTATATGCAATATAAATGTAAATCATGAACATAATTTATTAATTTTTATTTTATTACAAATTGAACACTGTAATTTCAACTTTTT